CTCAGTTATATTCGTGCTTATTTTGAGTGAAAGGTTACCGGTTCAGATCCCGGCAAGAAATTTTATACTCATTTATTTTTTATTTGCGAGCGTGATGTGAAATGTGAAAACGGTTGCGCAGTTTTCACAGTATAACTCTTTAACAGGCATTTTTCTGATCTATGATGAAGGGTTGCACGGGTTGTTGCCTCTATCGGGGCAGCGCGTCGTTTACTTTGGACGAGGGTTCGGCAATGGTTCAATTGCAATGGCTTTTGCTTAAATGAATCATTCATTTGAAAATTGTTACTTTAATTGGGCATCTTGTCAGTGCTTTTTAGGATTGCCCGATAGAAAGTTGTTTTTGGTTTCCACGCGTCCAAGACCCCACATTGCAGTCCCTGGGGTGCATCTGGGTAGACGGGGGGGGGGGGGCTTCGAGTACGGTAACTGGGTTCGGCGCTAGAATGGTTTGGTGCCTGAATGCAGTTGAATCTGTATTGCTGAGCACCTTAGCAAGTGACAGGTTTTTTTTTCCACAGCCGAGGCTATATGAGCCAGTGTTGAGTTGAGTCGCAACTGACTATCAGGAGAAGGCTCGATCGATGTGATTAAGACTGGCTTCAGTCCAAGAACCTCTTCAAAGTTTGCTTCTTCAACGGGGCTGGACCAAAAGGAGATAGTAGTTGGTGGAGTTGGGTTATAGGGACAAATAAAAATAGTTGGTGTTATGGGGAAGTTGAACTACTTAATGGATCCGTCTGAGGTAGTTGGATTGAAACGGTTGCGGAATGATTTCAAGAGAGCGTAGTGACTTCAACTGGGCTAGATTGCAGCAGAACTTGCTGCTTACTGTAAGCTTCGATGGGGATACTTGGGTGGCGTATTGCTTAAATTTTGAAAGTCTTAGACCTGTTCAATGCAATTTGTCTCAGTTCGAGTGGATAGTTTTCTTATTCTGATAGCTTTTTATGTAATCTTGGTCTAACTTCTAATTGGGGGTGTTCAGGTCTGACCCTAGCTTTGCGTTGCCTTGTTTGAAGGAGGGTTTAACTCGTCTGAGGGATGGATGTTAGCTTTCAATAATTTTAATTCCGGGATGGTTGTTGGCGTATAGCAGCTTCCAAAATTCTGCGAGGAGAAAAAATTCATGTGGTGGGCTATTTGCTCTGTGCTGTCTGTAGTTTCGACGTTAGTTGTGTTTGCGCATGCAACCATGTTGGCACTGAGTACTCGAGGATTGGTCTGATTATCGTCTTGATTTTGGTTAGCAGAGTTTCTTTACTTAGGCGCCACTTAGATCCTGTAAAAGTTTTTTTACAGAGCTTCTTTTTTAAACATTTTTAGAGTGATTTTTGCAGGGTGGAGTACTTGAAGAAAGGTCTGATTTGAGATTGATTGCGATGATTTCAGAGTGGTAGTCTAGTTGTCGCAAGGTATTTTTTGTTAGTGGGTTGAAGTTGTGTTTCATGAAGTGGGGGGAGAACAAACTGAAAGAGCATTTAGACGGGGAGAGCTACAACTTACTTTTTCAAATAGAAATAATAAATAAACATGGAGTCAAGGTTATTTGAAAAAAAGTATCGATAACTTTTCTGTTTGGTGCCTTGCATATGGACGCTGAACTTGTCGGAATAGCATATGATGTTGTCTCTGAATAATGTTTTTGCTTGTAATAATAACAAGACTGCTGGTATCAGGGCGAAGCCCTGAATGTTCCGACTGCCTTTTAACGTTTAAGGAGCAGTAATAACCTATAAAAATCAAATGTGATAAAATAAAATGAAAAAAATTTTTTTTCTAAAATTTGAATTTTTTTAAACAAAAATCATCCCCCCACACGCCATATTAAGTACAAAGGGATAGATTTCGCTCCTTGTAACAAATCAATTATGGCAAATAAGCTTCTTCCAACCAATTTGGAACGATTTCTAAGACGGATTAAATCTCCGCTTACGCGTTAATAGCGCGAAATATATCGCGCGTTAATTGTCCCAAATTGGCCAAATTGGCAATCTTTAAACCCCCATAACTTTACGAAAAACGATCACAGGTGAAATATCTTTTCAAATTTAAGCTCAGGACAACAATACCTTTTGAATGATATAGAAAAATTCCGTCAAAAATGGCTAGTTAAAAAAAAAACCACCCCGAGCACAAATATTCCGTTACTTTCGTATCGAAAGTCGGAACAATAATAAATTGTTTCCAGTATCGGTTCACATTGATCAATATAAAGTATATAAATGACCACTTGAAAGAACTCAGTCTGGGAGATCGTCATTAGACAAATTCTGCCTGTCTTCAGACGTCTCTTTCTGGTAGTTGCCAGGCCAGCGGTATATTGAATCCGGAAGGGCGGAGTCGATGAGGTTGACTATCAGGTTGTGCGGTAATTATAACAATCAAAAACTTATGAAAGGAATAGGGCTGCTAATATAGTTCTGTTTGCGAGTAGTTTCATAGTGATGGGAGTTTCGGGTATTGAGGAAAAAGCTGAAGTCCTAGCTATTTTTGTCGTTGGCAAATTGATAAACAAAACTGCTCGTATCAGGGCGAGGTCCTGAATGTTCCGACTGCCTCTTAAGGTCTATGGAGCAGTAATAAGATGAAAAAATTAAATGTAATAAAAATGATTTTTTTTTAATTTTAGATTTTTTTCTGAAATTCATCCCCCCACACGCCATATTAAGTACAAGGTGATAGATTTTGCTCCTATTAACAAATCAATCATGGCATAAAGCTTTCTTGAACCAATTTGGAACGATTTCTAAGATGAATTAAATCTCCGTTTACGCGTTAATAGCGCGAAATACATCGCGCGTTAATTGTCCCAATTTGGACGAAATGACACTTTTTATACCTCCATAACTTTGCGAAAAAAGGTCACCGGTGAAATATATAATTTGTCTGAAGAAAAAACAACACCCCGAAAGTCGGAACAAAAACAGAAATTTGATCTCTATTTAGACGATAGACATTGCCAATGTTCTTTTTCGAAATTAAGTAAGTGAACATTTTTGAAGTTTCCAAATTTGTCTCTATTTAGACGATAGACAACAACCTGGACCCTGTGTGGAATGAGTCATTCAACTTCAAGTGTTCAGAGGACACAGTTGACATCACTTTCACCATCTGGGACAAAAACACACTCACCAAAGATGAGTTGATGTGCTTCGCTGTGACGTCACTGGCCAGTCTGAAGACCAACACAGAACAGGAGATCAAAATACCCCTCAGAGGTCAGCGGTCCCAATTTGCAATGTATTTTACTATTTACCCAATCCTCCGCTCTTATTGGTTAACTAGCAGCGAATGCCCCCCCCCCCTCCCCCTTCTTGGAGTCTTTGAAAGTTTTTCAAAATTTTTGCGTGTAAAAGTTTTCAGATTATGGTTATAATCTGTGCACTTTGAACAAAATATTCCGAACCATAAACTTTCAAACTGTTTCAATAAATCTCTTATTTGTAATCATTTAGCGGTTCGAAATTTAACGAGGAAAAAAAATTAACGAATCATGACATATAATTTCGGACAAGTTCTCGATCGGGTGCAGATCTATTTTTACCCACCCGGGTCATATAATCTCGGCATAATGCTAATGGGGAAAAGATATAATGGGGAAAAGTCTATGATTTGTGATTTTTCAGCTTTGGAAATTGAATGACTAGCGTTTTTCCACAAACCAAAAAATTTGGATTTCTTTAAATTTTAAACTCTCAAAACTTTTGGGATATGGTCGTAACCAACCACAAGTGACACAAACCATAGTTTACTTAAATCTAGAATCGGCAAAGTTTTGATTGTCTTGCATTTACAATGTGTTGGAAACGATCTGAATTGTCTGAGAGTTGCCTTACACAAACGATAAACTGAAAGAATCAAACTTATGAATTTTGGCAAAAAATTTTAAAGATGATCATTTTCAAAAAATTTGAATTTCCAAATAATCAGACATTGATTAAGGCAAACTTAAACATGCAATACAAAAAAATATGAGTTTTGAGCGATTTTTAAAGAAAATATCCAGAGAAAGTGAAGAAAATCTTGTGTATCACAAACTACGTTTTGAGTATCCCTGACTACGTTATGCACACAAAACAATAAACTTTGCAGGCATTTTTTTGGCAATTTTTTGTTTGAGTTCAAAATTCGTTTTGCGGTTAAAAAACCACTTGGAAAGTTCTTTTCGTTCTGCGGTGCAATTTCAAAATTTTTTTGAAAAAAGTTTGTTTGAATACAAAATACAAATTGCTGTTGAAAAAACACAAAAAAATTTTTGAGGCGAATTTAATTGGAAAAATATTTGTTGTCGCCACCAAAAAAAAAGCTAGTCATACAATTTGCATATATGGAAACTGTATGACTAGCATTTTTTTTTGACAAAAAAAATCTTTTTTATGACAAAAAAAATCTTTTTTATTTACTACAATACACAAGTTTGTATGCCAAAACAAGAAAAAAAATCTTTAGAAATTTGATGACACCATAAAAGCAAAATTTATGAAATTTGTATGAACAACATTTTTCATAGATTTTGTTTATGGAATTGTATGACTGGCATTTTTGGTCTATGGAGATCAACCCGGGAGATCAAGCGTTCTCTTCTCATACATTTTGTGTGTATAACACACTTGGTTGCTATTTTCGTTAGCCGATAAACTTCGCTTCAATAACTCCTTTTATTCCTGTTTGATTAAAACAGGTATTATGAAAACGTATGGGATTGGGTTTTTCATTTTATTTTTCAATATTAATTTTTTCGAAAACTACTCTACCGATTTGCAAAAAAGCGGTACCAATGGAAAGTGCGCCCGCCAACTCTCTTGTGTGCGTGCATAATTCCCTTGTCTCTTTTTACCTTACCCCACTTTCTACAGCCTTCGAAAAAGTGTGTGGGATGAATTTTTGGCCCAACTTTTTGTATTTTTCACATTTTATCAAAAACTCCCTCAAATCTGAGATTTTGTGTTCAACGGATAGAAAATATTGTGAGAAGCTTCCTTGCATAAACGGCTCCACCCATTTTTATTTACACAAAAATTTATGGTCCTCAGAAAAGTCAAAGTGAAACTTTTTGACTTTTCCCAAAAACTACTCTCTCAAATCTGAGATTTTAGTTTTAATCGAAAGGACTAGTAGTGAGAAGCTCCCCTGCATAACCGGTTACGCCCAAAATCTTTCAAACAAAAAATAATGACCCCGGAAAAGTCGAATTTTAGATTTTTTGACCTTTTTTGAAACTTTTAGACTTTCCTCAAAAACTACCCTCCCAAATCTGAAGTTTCGATTTCAATGGATAAAACGAGTTGCGGGAGTTTCGCCTGCATGAGCCGTTAGGCCTAAAAAATTAGGCGTGGCCTTAAACTGGGATGCCTTAAACTGGGATTTTTTTGCTATAGGTCTGTTTTTGAAATTACCCTTGTCCTTCCGCATCAGTAACAAAAAAAATTATGAAACAGGTATTTCCAGCTTTACCTTGTCTCTAGTGCTAGAGAAATTTCATGCCAGTTGAACCCAACGCTTCACATTGCTGCGCTTACACTTACACTCAACAAGAAATAGAGGCTGCGCTTATATCAGTTTTGAAGGATAGTTTTGAAGGATAGTTTTGAAGGATAGTTAAACTTGATATGTATAGGGTTCGATTGAAACTCTGGAGAAAAAATTGGAGAAAACTCTGGAGACAAAAAGTTGCTGGAGAAAACTGGAGAAACAATTTTGATTTCAAATTTCGAATATGGTACCTTCATCATTGACTCAAATGCGATAGTATCTACAAAACAATTCAAATAATGACAACGATGCAATTTTTTCAGCTGGCAAAGACTTCGGCAAGTAGCTCGAGGGGACTAAGCTCAACAAACCTTAGAGCTTTTAAAACAAAATTCAGAATTGTTTTGAAAAGTAGCTTCGCTTAATTGACTTACAACAGCTCACCGCTTTCTATCAAAAATTAACTTTTACTTAGAATTTAACACGATGTGTTTTGCTTGTAAAATTTTACTAGGAAAATTAAAAAGAATCCAGCGGTAGTTTTTGGCATTTGCCAGAACGTTAACGAGAATCTCGGGTTTTTTTCGTTGAACGCAGCAAAAATAATATTTCTGAAACTTGAGTTGAAACCATGAAACAATGTTGATGTGCTTGAATTTGATTTGCTACTACTAGCCGCAAACAAGCAACAGTTAAAAGCATTTCAATAAGAATTTGCTGCAGATAAATTTGAACGAAGTGATCAAAAATATAGAGCATCAAATTACTAGTTGATCAAATCAAGTCTTCTGTGAAACTAAAACCAGAAAAAAATCCTGAGAATGACTTTCTAATTGATCACGTGACAACATTTTTATATTTTAAATATTTGCTATAATTTTTTTTATCGTCTTAAAAGAATATCTGGTTGTTGTGGACTTTTTCAGCTATTTTTCCTCTTCTGCAAATGAAAGAGAGATTCCATACTAGGTATAAAATCGCGTTTTCTAACAGTTGAAATAATTGCTTAAAGGGATGTCTATTTGTTAAAAGTACCAAAGGCGGAATAGCTAAAGAGATCATTTTTTGTCAAAGTTCCGAAACAGGTTGTCATAATCTGAGGTAAGAGTGTGAAAATCAGAGAAAACAGTTTGTTTAGTGTCCCGATCATTGCACGAAATGGGGAGGAACTATGGCGTAGCAGTAGCTTGTTTTTACAACCCATTTAAATTAACTTGTGTTTTTATCAAAGAAATCTATCTACCTCAAAAAAATCTAGGAGTTCAACTGTAATTCCAACTACAACATCTTTCATCAGTGATTCTGAACCTCAAATCGATAAAACAAGAAATCGGTCTCAATTTTGAGCAAACATGGTTCTGCCGACCCATTTCTGCCTTGTCTCGGTGCTGAGGTAGATCGGTTATGGCTGTCTTGCTGATTGACAACAATTCGAGTTATTTGTTTTTAACCGCAATTATCGGAAATAACAAGTGAACAAAGAATAACTAACTGCCATAAATTTCCATATTTAGAAGCAGAAATAAATGTCATAAAATACGTAAAATTTTCATGTCTCGTTTTTAAATAAGCACATGAAAAACTTGTGAAATTTGTTTCGATCAGCCATATGACTTCCCAAAAACTACTCTCTCAAATCTGAGATTTTAGTTTTAATCGAAAGGACTAGTAGTGAGAAGCTCCCCTGCATAACCGGTTACGCCCAAAATCTTTCAAACAAAAAATAATGACCCCGGAAAAGTCGAATTTTAGATTTTTTGACCTTTTTTGAAACTTTTAGACTTTCCTCAAAAACTACCCTCCCAAATCTGAAGTTTCGATTTCAATGGATAAAACGAGTTGCGGGAGTTTCGCCTGCATGAGCCGTTAGGCCTAAAAAATTAGGCGTGGCCTTAAACTGGGATGCCTTAAACTGGGATTTTTTTGCTATAGGTCTGTTTTTGAAATTACCCTTGTCCTTCCGCATCAGTAACAAAAAAAATTATGAAACAGGTATTTCCAGCTTTACCTTGTCTCTAGTGCTAGAGAAATTTCATGCCAGTTGAACCCAACGCTTCACATTGCTGCGCTTACACTTACACTCAACAAGAAATAGAGGCTGCGCTTATATCAGTTTTGAAGGATAGTTTTGAAGGATAGTTTTGAAGGATAGTTAAACTTGATATGTATAGGGTTCGATTGAAACTCTGGAGAAAAAATTGGAGAAAACTCTGGAGACAAAAAGTTGCTGGAGAAAACTGGAGAAACAATTTTGATTTCAAATTTCGAATATGGTACCTTCATCATTGACTCAAATGCGATAGTATCTACAAAACAATTCAAATAATGACAACGATGCAATTTTTTCAGCTGGCAAAGACTTCGGCAAGTAGCTCGAGGGGACTAAGCTCAACAAACCTTAGAGCTTTTAAAACAAAATTCAGAATTGTTTTGAAAAGTAGCTTCGCTTAATTGACTTACAACAGCTCACCGCTTTCTATCAAAAATTAACTTTTACTTAGAATTTAACACGATGTGTTTTGCTTGTAAAATTTTACTAGGAAAATTAAAAAGAATCCAGCGGTAGTTTTTGGCATTTGCCAGAACGTTAACGAGAATCTCGGGTTTTTTTCGTTGAACGCAGCAAAAATAATATTTCTGAAACTTGAGTTGAAACCATGAAACAATGTTGATGTGCTTGAATTTGATTTGCTACTACTAGCCGCAAACAAGCAACAGTTAAAAGCATTTCAATAAGAATTTGCTGCGGATAAATTTGAACGAAGTGATCAAAAATATAGAGCATCAAATTACTAGTTGATCAAATCAAGTCTTCTGTGAAACTAAAACCAGAAAAAAATCCTGAGAATGACTTTCTAATTGATCACGTGACAACATTTTTATATTTTAAATATTTGCTATAATTTTTTTTATCGTCTTAAAAGAATATCTGGTTGTTGTGGACTTTTTCAGCTATTTTTCCTCTTCTGCAAATGAAAGAGAGATTCCATACTAGGTATAAAATCGCGTTTTCTAACAGTTGAAATAATTGCTTAAAGGGATGTCTATTTGTTAAAAGTACCAAAGGCGGAATAGCTAAAGAGATCATTTTTTGTCAAAGTTCCGAAACAGGTTGTCATAATCTGAGGTAAGAGTGTGAAAACCAGAGAAAACAGTTTGTTTAGTGTCCCGATCATTGCACGAAATGGGGAGGAACTATGGCGTAGCAGTAGCTTGTTTTTACAACCCATTTAAATTAACTTGTGTTTTTATCAAAGAAATCTATCTACCTCAAAAAAATCTAGGAGTTCAACTGTAATTCCAACTACAACATCTTTCATCAGTGATTCTGAACCTCAAATCGATAAAACAAGAAATCGGTCTCAATTTTGAGCAAACATGGTTCTGCCGACCCATTTCTGCCTTGTCTCGGTGCTGAGGTAGATCGGTTATGGCTGTCTTGCTGATTGACAACAATTCGAGTTATTTGTTTTTAACCGCAATTATCGGAAATAACAAGTGAACAAAGAATAACTAACTGCCATAAATTTCCATATTTAGAAGCAGAAATAAATGTCATAAAATACGTAAAATTTTCATGTCTCGTTTTTAAATAAGCACATGAAAAACTTGTGAAATTTGTTTCGATCAGCCATATGACTTTTTTCACACACTAATTTTTAATCACCAAAAACTTCAAATATCTCGACCTTCGATTAGCCCCCTATTAGCTCTAACGAGAACACGATTGCAAGACAAAAATCAACTGAAGAACAATAACAATAAGCAAAAGCTTCTGAAAAATGGATGAAAAAAAAATTTTGCGTTTTTTCCTCAGAGTTTAAATTTTTTCCGCAAGGAGCGATTGAATTTAGGAGAAAAGCTGATAATTGAGATATAACAATAGCTCAATAAAAAAAAGATTACAGAAAATCAAATTTTTTTTTAAATTTTGTGATAAAGTGATATCTCAATTTCATTAAGCCAAAACTATTTGTGGCAAAAAATAAAGAAGTTTAAAAAATAAGTGCAATTGAAATCACCTCAAATATTTAATGTATAAATATCTTTTGACAACTTTTTTAATGAAGGTTTTTCTGAGTTGGCCTCATTTTTTTATAAACGCAGTGATCAAATCAATCTACTTTCTTAAAATTTTTACTGTCTTAAAATTAGAAAGGCTCATGTGTTAAGGGTTAGGTGACTTTTTCATAAGGGACCAGAAAACAATTTGAAACAAATGTAGAGTTTTTAGATCGAAAAGTTATTATATTACTACTAAATAGTCAAGATTTCAACACAAAAAGTTTTTTAATTGGGGCTAGTTTTTTTAGGATTAATTATGAAGTTTATGGAAGGTTTCAGAGATGAAAAAAAGAGTAAGAGGTAAATAATTGTGAAAGTTACTTCAAATGACTGATTTTAGATTCTTTTACCTGATTTAAAACTTTTCGGTCATCTCATGCTTTGAAAAAATACTTCACAACAAGAAAACTAGTTCTGTTGATGGTTTGAACCAGCAAAATTGATAAACGAAATCAAATTTTTTTCTGAAAAATGAAAAAACTGAACAATTGTGAGTTTTGGAAGTTGAGGCACCCATCAGAAAACTCGGCTAGTTGACGGTTACATATAACACCTACAATCGAGCAGAAAATTAAAGTATTTTTTTTTAAGATTTAATTGGATTTATATTGAAAGATTGACCTCGTGAACTCAAATATAATTACGTCTCAAATGGCATATTTCCCAAATGGCATTAAAATGAAAAATTTCCCGAATGGCATAAATTTCATGCAACAGTTGCATAAAAAAATCGAGAACAAATTTTTCCTGTACAATATGAGAAAGTTTGTCAATTTTTCAATTAAAATGTTGATTGACATTTCATATTGAAAAAAGTGCTTTTTTTGTCAAAAGCAAAAAAACATAAGCTTTCGGTTATTGATCAGCTTATTGTGGTCAAATGTTCCGCCAAATCTGTTGCTTAACATTTGTTTGGAAGCAATTAATTCCATATCTTGTTTTGGTTCCTGGCAAAATAAAGAATTGGAAACTGATTGAAAACGTTTGAGTTTCAATGAAAACTTGGAATTTATGCCATTTGGGAAAAGTTTCTTTTTTATGCCATTTGTGAAGTTACCCTCGAATATGAATAAACTTCAGTTTCTACCTTAAAAGTTTTTAGATAGCAAAAGTGGCAAGTATAATTCAAACGGAATGAAAATTATTAACGCATTAAACTGAACAAAACACTAGAAACTAAATGATTGTTGTTTTTGAAAATAACTTACTAAATTGACCGGCAAATACTAACAATTCTTCACCAAAGCCCAATCTCTATTTTTGACGCATATCACGCAAGGCCAAAATGTAAATAACAAAAGTAATTCAAGTCAAATTTTTTGGAAATTTTGGTGGTATTAAACAGCACAAAACCAAGTCTCATAAACCTAACGCAAAAAAAACAATCTTTTGTCTGCGTTTCTAGCAGAGCAGATTTTTTAACAATGATTTGGTTATAACTTCTTAATATTTAGGAAGCCCAATCAAGAGTGAAATGATAGTGAAACTGAAACCCAACTTCGAAACCCCCTTGGTTAAAAACCAGCGCATCACTAAAGAACTGGACATGACCAAAAGTGAGAAAGACGCCCTGGAAAATGAAAAGAGCAAACTGAAGAACATAGTGGGAGATTTGGAGAAGAACAACGCATTGTTCAAAGGGACTCAATTTAAATCTAAATGGACTTAAATAGAACTAAATCGAAATTCTCCCAATGGAATTTGGGGTTCAGGGCAGAACTATTAGCGTCAATTAGACACAAGATAGAAAAAGGTTCCCATAAAAAATTACAAAAAAAATTGATTTTATGTTTAAATGTTAAACAAATTTTCTACCAATTATTTGTTTAGCATTTAAAATTATTTTTCCACAAAAACATTATATATCAGATTCATATGAAGAGTTTGCCGTCTTTTTAAAACCCACTAGTATTTGATTCCTTTTTTGTATTTTCGAGATTTGGAAATCTTTGGTAATTTCTGCTCTTTTTTTTAATTTACAAAAATATTACTTACAAGAAATAAATGTTTTATTTTTTTTTCGTCCGTCAGCGTGTATCGCCCACGATTTGACGAACTTCCTATTTTTTTCCATAAAAAGGGGGCTTACGAGAAAAAGCAAGTTATAATCATCAACCATTCGAAGAATTCTTTAAATTTATTCGAAAAAAGAAACAGTCTTAATTTAAATTGACTCCACCTCAATTCGCATTAGCTCATTGCGAAGAACTCTCAAAGGAGAATGACAAGTTCAAAGAGAATAACAAGAAGTTAGAAGAACAAGTGAATGTCATGACAGGGGAGAACAACAGATTCAAAGCCAATAATGAGAAGCTGGAACAGGAAAACAAGAAGTTTGCCGACAACAACGCCAAATTGGAACAAGAGGTAGGAGCAATTTTGGTGATTTTTCCAGGTCTTTTTCAAGAGGTGTGTTTAACCTAGATGCATTAGCAAGCTGAGGGGGGGGGGGCAACCCCCCCCCCCCCCTCAATTCTGGTTGCCAAACTTTTCCCACGGGTCCCAAAGATGGCAAAACTTCTAATGCAAGTTGTTTCAGAGATTATTTCCAGTTATTCAGGCGTTTTATTAATTCAAAAACTGCCCCGTTGTTGTTAAATGTAATGCTAAACTCTAAAAAAAATTTTAAAAAATACACTTATAATGCAATTTAGTGTCGTATAGATACATTTCATGAGGTATAGTTTTGATATCGTGAGTTTGTTCATTGGTGCTATCGGTGCTGTTTTTTGTCCTGGACTGAATTTATTAAGTACCTGCCAGTTGATATTGAAAGTGTGCGTTAGCTAAAACAGTTGAAGTTTGTTATGGTTTGAATTGCAATTGGAGATTTATTTGTTCAGAATACAAGTATTGATCATTAATTTTTCACATGGCGCAACCAACAGGATACGGCGCGGGAACGAGGAAAAACCAACTCGGAATCACGGCGTTTTGGCCGAGCAAGTGCACGGAGGCACCGATGCTATGAGAGAACTGGATCACTCGTTTTACCTGGGGAGTAAAAGCGAAGTACGGATTCAATCCTACTTCGATCGAACGTTAACAGCAGCTTAAGTTGCGGCGCTGCCGGCGGATATACACGAAAAATTGCAAAGAAATGGAGCAAACGCTCATTTCTAATAATATGCATCTTTGCTGGGGGAGCAGGGGCAAGATCAACTTGATAATCGGAAACCCCACCTGGACTTGGCAATTACCAAGAGTGCTAGCCAAGTTCGAAAGTGTATTTAAAAAGGAAAGAAATGAACCGTTCGAGACATACCAATTATCTTGTAGAAAATAAAATAGAGTCACGGCGAGACGTTGCAAATGTTTCATTCCGTTCTCAGCAGGCTGGCGCCACGGTGTAGTCTGGTAACGCTGGAGCGCAGAATCCTACAGGTTGCTTTTATAGTGAATATGTCAAACAAGGAGGCGCAAACGGAAATTTTCTGATCTACTGAAAAATAGTTGAGGTTTACAGGATTGCATTATTGTATGAGAGAGGAGATAATAACCCTAAATTGCAAAAAAAAAATCACCGTGGAGGGCTCGCGACAGCGCTGGTACGGGCGTTTCAGACAAACTCGGAACCAGTTAGCGCAATACACGGCGGTACGGACGACCATTTCAACGGGGCGGAAGGGGTGTAATGAGAGGACACAGCCACGGCGGAGCGGATTGTGAATTTTTCAATTGCGACCGCACTGGATTTACAACGGACCACATTGCGAAGTGACCGGCTAAAAACGCTACCTACAATTTTTGTTTTTTAAAAAACGGGTCATTATGAGCGCACGTGAGGAGCGGGTAATTATGAGAGAACGGGTCATTATGAGCGAAGGATGGCATCATAAGAGACTCTCATCAAGACTCGGACGAAAACGCATTGCGCAACGGAAGCTCCGTTTGGTGCGTGAACGATCCAAACAAAGCCGCACAGGACTGGGATTCGGACAGTTCAAACAATTACATCGTTATGTCGATCAAGCCGAGAAAACAAGAGGAACTAAAAGTACTGGGTGCGAAATTAGCGCTTAAAGTCAACAGGTATCCTACTCAAGCCTTGATCGAAAGCGGATTGCCCATATCAACTTGCGCGCTTGGATAACTCAAGCGTACCTTAGGACAGCAGAACGTGCAGCTCCAACTGATAGATTCAAAAGACGACCATATCAATGGCAAAAAAATGATAGGAAAATTTACTGCGACTCTACACTCCAATGGATGGACGACTCAGACAGCAATCAATGTGATTGGAGGCTGTCGCCCTTCAATCGTTGGTAGAGATCTGATGTCGGTATTGGGACTCATGCTGGTTCAGGCGACAGCGGAGTAAGGCATCCTTAGCATCCAGGGGCAACCGGAAACTGGGACCGGGGAGATGATCATGATAATTGACAAAAACATTTCAATAAGCAATTTCATAACGTTTTTCAAAGGTTAGGACGCATGAGTAAGTATAAAGTGCAAGCCTAGTTCTTAAAAGTTTCAACGCCTATTCAACAAATGGCAGGAGATTGCCCATCGCACTACAAGGTAAATTAGATAACAAAATTGATAAGCTACTGGCACAAGGACCCATTGAGGAACTTGAAGACTGCTCGGACAAGTATTCTGCATCGCAAATTGTGATTAGTTGAAAAAGATGGCTCGGTAGAAAAAACATCGGTATAAGGTAGCTAAACAAACAAATCCATAAACTCAAGTTTCAGTCGCCAAATATGGTAGAACCAATGGAAATTGCGGGGTAAAGATCAAGCGAAAAAACTAGGGATAAACTTTTTAATACAATGGACCTAACGTATGCGTACGGGCAACTGCCACTGAGCGACGACACCAGCGGGTATTGTAACCTTTCGTTAGTTAATGGAAGACAAAACCACCGGTCCGTTTCGACTCAAAACAGGGTTCTATGGATTAACAACGATGTCTGCGGAATTTCAACGTGTCATGGACGCATTACTTTACAAATTTCCATGTGCGCACGCTTTCATCGACGTCATTTTATTTTTTTTTTACGGGTTCTGAAATCAAAAACATCGCGTTGGGTGATAAAAACCTGGAAAAACTATAAAAAGAAAAGATGGCGCTGAAATTGAAGAAATGCAAATTTGCAAAAAGATAATGTGAATGGATTAGACACCGGATCAGAAATTCTGGCAACCACCCTCTCGCGCTTGCAGAGTAATCAGCCCCGTTGCCTCTACTACTTACTAGGAAAAAATGATTTCGTTTGGACGAATGAAAGTCAGTGGGCATTGGAAACAATGGAAAAGCAAGTAGCGAACATTGTCAAACTAACAAATTTCAAAGAGCATAAGATATCCGAATTGTATGCGACGCAAGCCATAATGGCTTAGGAGCCGTATTGGAAAATTTTGGCTCCGAAGGATGCGCTTAATTTGATTCGCATCTCGGTTTCTAAAGGGGGCAGAGAAAAAGTTTTTTAAAAATAATTTGGAATTGTGGCAGTTCTATGGGAAACTTTAGAAATACTTTAAAAGCTACATATTTGGTAGACATTTTACAGTCATAAAAGATCACAAAAAGCTGATGATTCTACTAAACGGACTTAACAAGAAGAACAAAATTATGTTTAGCCGTTTAACAAGATGTACCAAAATACAAATCAATACCACGAATGTTTAGCTCAGAAAAATGTGATGTGCAAATTCATTTTCGAAAATTCACCGGATGAGGTCGTGAAAACATGTGCTCAAACATCAACCAATCAGATCGCAGAGATTTGCTGCATATCTGAGTGCAACGACCGGAAAGGAGCGAAAATAGTCACACCTATTACTGAGTGTGAATTGAGTTGAAAACACCTTCCATTTCAAACAATTGTTTTTTGAGACGTGTAACTTTCCTATGGCTAGCATTAACTAGAAGAAGCTACGCAAACTATTATTAAGACATCCAGATATAACTAGCGGGAGCAATAGTGAGATCCATGATTTCAATTTGATCGGCATTCGGGGGCGAACATTTTCCGCCGGCTTGTCTAGCTTATGTGGTGATGTAGATTATTTCAAGAAATTGCAAAGTGGTCAAAAAAAGTGACGCTCTATAGGAACTCTTTAGTCTTAAATTAATCGGGGCGAACTACAAAGGAGAACCACGAATGAAGGCGATAAGGGACATGGTGGGAGCAAAGGACCCCGATCTGGTCCGGAAAGTTAGAGCAATGGGCGCGTATCTTGGCAAACAAGCAAACGACTTCCATGTAAAAGAGAATTGTCTGTGAATGGACAAACGCCTTTTCATCCCAATACCCTTAGGCTGCAGTGGTCAACAGGATTCATAGTATCAATCATGAACGCGCAAACAAGTTCGATGCGGCAAGGAAGGTGTGGTTTTTCTATCTCCACCAGAGTTTGGTTGCGTCAGCCGACGGATCCCAGGAGTGTACCGCTGCAGGTAAAAACCTGAAACAAACGTGCGCCAATGGCGATATTGGAAAAATATTTGAACCATAGTAGCAAATTGAAAGCCTACAAATAGATGTTTGGGGCCCTATCAAACATTTAAATGAATCGGACGAAAACAACCTGGTCCCGGTGGACCGTTTTTCACTCTGGGCGTCGGCCATCTTTTGTAGTAATAACAGAAGCGACAAAGTTTCAAACTTTCTGAAAAACTAATTATCTCACCAAGGAGTGCCAAGGAAAATTTACATGGATCAAGGGTCTAGCTTCACGTCAAAAGCGATAAAATCGATTTGTAATAGCAAGCGTGTTCAAAATAGGTTTTTGCCGGTGAACGACTACAGAGCCACTGGCTGTGTAGAACGCACAAGAGGTAGTTGAAAAAATTTAGTCTTGACCTACGCAAACGAAAAGGATGATGGTAACCTAGATTAAAAGGTAGAACGCGCACTTAGCGCCTTCAGTTTTGCACCTAACGCCATTCGAGGCAACCGAAGGCCAACACCGTCCACAGAAATCTCACGCTACCAAACTTTAACTGAGCAAAAGTTTGCAACACAAGTCTGCATGTTTACATACTAGAGACCCGCGTACCAATCAAATGCCGAATCCAACGAAGACTAACTGAAACGAACGATTGGATATTGTTTACGATGTTGAACATAGCAACCACCTGCGGGGTTTAGTGGATGACCAACTAGTCAGTAGGCCTGGCGATTCTCAAGGCGACGAGGGCGCGAGTAAGGGCGGCGGCTCCAAAGGCAAAAAGGAACCGAGCACTGAAGGCAATTCAGACAGGCCCAGTAGACGAACAAAACTGTTGCTTCAATGTTTCAAAGGTTAAAAGATCGCAATCAAAAGTATAGACAAATCCATAAGAAATTTGTTAGTGAATCTAGACATATCTTGAAGCTCTCCTAAAGCACTAAGAAGACGCTGTTTTGGCCAAATTTT